TATTTTTCTCAAATTTTAACGCGGTATCCCGTTACACGACCAGAACCACTACGCCACTGGTGCCTAGCTTACGGTCAGATCGTGATGACTCAATGTGTTCTTCTCAAACCGTGTCTACTCTAACCGTTCTCCAAATAAAATTTATTAAAGTTATTTTCGAGGTAAAGCGTACGCCACTGAAGTGTTCGTAATTAATTAGTATTAGCACAGGTAGTGGAAACCATAGTATTAATTTGATGAAAATGTACTTGATTATTGCAACAATTCATAAACGCCGTTAATGGCATGGATCAAGGGAGTTCTGCCCCTAAAAAATATGAACGTAAAAAAGGCACAGATTATTTCCATTTATCCTTGGAAAGCTGTGATAAAATTCTGTCGGTCTATTTAAGAATCACCCTGTACATATTTTTAAAATGTGCACTTTAAGATTCGGATGTTGGGTCAACCGGACATATTCATATCTATGTATATCTTGAGAGTACTTTAATGATTCAAAAAAACACTCAGTTCAAAAAATCACACTGTATATTTTGTGTTTGAATTGTTACATTTTAAGTTACATTTTTTTCTTTCCAAGTATTATAAACAACCTCGAGTTTTAAATTAGCAATAAATTTTACACTTTGTTGAAAAAGTAACAAATCAAATCACAAGGTGTTTATGAGTATTTTATTTAAATTATATAAATGGTCAAAGATGAGGATGCTTTAATGGCAGCTTTTTATCAATATTTCCGCAAATATAATTAAGCTATCTACTTATAATAATTACACTGGTATTCATTAGAAACATTTCTAGTTTTTTTACCAGTGGAAGACATTCTTTGCTGTTACACTTTAACGTGGTAGAATGTTTCTAGCCGAACTTTTTGATTAGGGAGTGAAAACGTATCAGAAGCGGATGCACATGGTATCGGATTTGAAGAAGTTTGTTTACGCTAGCTGAACCCAATATTTTAAAATTCCGTCTCTGTGCAAATGTGACGCAATTGTGCAGATTTAGGTCAATACTCTGTATGTGTAGTAGTATTCCCTTGATTGCCGATTAATTCTCATCAAGTTGGCACTACTTCTCAATCTATTATTTCTGAAAGTTGGCTAGTGTTGACCTAAAAACTTGGAGGAAAATTTTCTGTAATTAATATCTTCTCCAAGCATCAATTTAATTTCGTAATTAAACAAAGAAGCATGCTTTTGAATTCGAATTTTTTATAAACATATTTTAATATTAATGTCTGGAAATACCGAGTCAGAAGAATGTTTAAAACACAAATTGTGTATTTTCCTAAACCCCATGTGTTTTGTTGCGCTAAAAAGGCTCATTAATATTAATTAAAATAAATTTTATTACGTGAGAAGTTCTACTTTTAAAAGGGCAGCCGTTTGTTTAAGTGTTTATCGAAATGATTTAGATAAGTTTTCCTTTGTGAAACCTAAGCCGAACCACGATTTTTCACCTGGATTTATTAATGTCGGTTATTAAGATTTTAGATTAATTTTAAGTTTAACTAATTAAAATTACCTGCGTTTTGTACAAGAATTCCAAAGTGAGATAAGTGTTTTTAATACCTCGAGGATGTGCATCATCATACTAAAAACTGAATACTTATTATTGCATTAGCATTTTTCTTGAGATTATGCGTCTATTCTAATTTAAACAAATGAAAACGTTTTCTATTGAAATTGATTGTAAACAAGTTCGTCAGATGGTTTAAAATTTCAATTGAAACAAATTGAAAGTAGGAAAAGCTGTTCTACAAAATATGTTTGATGGGAACGATAATAAGATAACTGAGTTAATTCAATAATAGTTGTCTGATTCCCATTACCTCTTCAAAAGATTGAAAGATAAATGTAATTCAAGAACTACAATAGCTACTGCGACGAAATTACTGTTGACATGATCGTGGTATCATAATTACCATCTCTAGACACTTAGAAAACAACATAATTCTAAATTTAATTTATTTTAAAGAGGTGAGACTAGATTTTTTACCGCGAATAACTGTCTTTGGTTACAGTATAGTTTTACTCACCCAAACCGTACGCAAGAAAGCGGAAAGATTAAGAAATAATTTAATCTGAAAATATAAACGTCTGAAAAATTTATAGCTACCTTCTTGGTTTATTTAATTGACGCATATTAATATACACCAGTTTATGGGATAATAAAAGCCATTTTGACGTGCTAATCTTAACTTTCGAATGGCTGCATTCTGAACTTGAGGCTAATGATTCAAAATTTGCTTTTATCACTTTAATTATAAATTCACTTTCAGTTAAGTGTACTGATGAAAAATATATTTTTTTATGATTGCTTTATGAATGTTGACCAAAATAAATTAAATTATACAAGGTGTACTACATAATTTTACGAGGCCTGCGCCTGTAAGATGCAATCAATAATACATATTCCGATACGAACTCGATTACAAATTTTGAAAAATTGGATAATCTTCTCTAGTTTGTTCACTCTTCCAAAAATTACATCGTTTTTAGTTAGTTAGTGATTAAGATAGATAAACTAGAATCATATTCATGTCGTCTTTTGATAGAACAAATGATAATTGTTTCTGAAACACTGCAGTTTATGAATAATAATGAAACAGTGATTAGTTTGACAACTACTGTCATGGGTTTTCAAAAACTAAGTAATTAAATGTGTATTTTTTGTTTCCCGTATTTTGTGACTTTTGTATATCTGGGTGCGTACATTAGGAGAAAGCCTCGTAAAATTTTTGGAAATATCCTGTAATGCACAGGGTGACTGAAATTTGATGCGGTGTCTTAATATTTATAATTTGTTTTAAATAAAATAATAACACACTAAATGATTTGCAAAACATTTCAATACAGGTTTATTCATGTTTATTCAACAACAACAATTTTTTGATATCAAATTTTGAAAATAATTATAACTGAATTCACGACGGCTGTTATTTGTCTTGCCTCTTTGACATTAAAGCAAAAAAATCATTCCTCAAACGATGCAGTATGTTTTGTTATTGTTATCGTTTATTGTTATGTTTTGTGGTGGGAATTGTGGATAATTTTTTCACGAATATTGAATTTTTTAGTATACTTAAGAATACTTAAGAATGAGTGAATAAATGATCTTTTTTTGAAATCGTTTCTAAAGTGAACAAAGTAGTCTATACAGTAATTTAAGATAGTCGGTAATTCCAGATTCATGCCATCAAATAAAATCGTTCGTAAAGTTGACAAAATAATCCATAAATGTGCAATGTTGGTTGCTTAGTGTTGAAATTTTTACATAATAAAAGGATGTGGAATTTTATTTTAGCACTAAAGTAATTTTTGAAAACTCGTATCGTTAAAGTTTATATTTGTCATAAAAAATCAACTTGAATGCCCTTGTTAAACAAAAAACAAACTGTTTGTTAATAGCTATAGAAAAATCACCTTTTTTATGTATTTTTTTTTCTATTTACACAATCTTTTTAATTAAAGTGTTTCTGCCTATAACATAGCACTTCTTGTACTTATCCAGTAGCAGTACATTTTGTTTTCAGACGCGAAAAAGTGATATCTGTTCTCAGATATTCAATAATTAGGATTTTAAATGACATAAATCAATAGATAAACATAAAACACATGATGAGACAAAATTTTGACCACATATTACCATAAAAACTTTTTTTTGTAATACCTGAATTGAAAGTTATTTTTGGGATAGAAGTATGTAAATTTATTTTCAGGAGCGTATTTTATTTTCACAAATTGTTTTGTCTGAAAATTTCTTCAGTGTTAAAGAAATTTTATGTAAAACACAAGAGGAAAGTATATATTTAGTATATTTAGGGGCAATAACAAAAACAAATCTGAAATTTGTCACTGCCACATGTGAAATATTTTTTGTGTTATCAGTATTCAGTATCATATAAAGAGTCACATTCAGAGGTTATTTCAAAGCCAACTTGATCCTTCAATCATTTACGGACACATTGTATTAATTATAACTTTCTGGAGGCAAATGATTAAAAAAAAACCGCTTGGTTCCATATTAATATTAATAATATTAATCGTGTATATACGTTAAAAAAGTCTACTACAATTTTTAACAATTGAGGCCTCTGTTTTCGACCGAAACTAAAACTTGCTGCATAATTTATGCTAGTCGGAATTCACCTTAGACCCCACACCGTCATAATTACTCTACGCACCAGAATCGTCCGCAGTTCAACAAAAGCTGCAATACCTGTCCATTGAGGCTAGATCTGAAAAGTGTCACAACCTGTGATTAATGATATCGAATGAGGGTCACATGATAATTACATGGAGAATATCGCATTTAATTTAAATTTGTTTGGAACTATTTATTTATCAAAATTACATAAGCAGTGAAATATTAACACTAGGTATGTACTTGGTCGTAGGTACCATGAGTTTAATTAAAAGTAACATAGATATACAGGGTGCGCCAGAACTCGCGCCCTAGAGAAAAATGCCATATAAGTTAAGATACCAGGAACATGGAAAAAATGTATAAAAAAAATGTATCTATAAAAATTTCGAAGTTATGAGGGTTGCAATATATATTTATTTCTGTTGCAAAAATAATTTTACAAGTTTTTTTGCTATAGGCAAAGGGAAACAAGGAAGCTGTATCCTAAATTGTAACTCTGTTCAATGTTATTTGTGGCTTTTATTGGTAAAATTTTTGTACTTTTACTAAATAATTGTAAAAAAACATATACAAAATCATCAGTCTCATTAAATAGACATAAAATATGTCAAACGTCAAAAAATAAATGTCAAAAGTTTTTGACAGATAGAATTTTTTAAACATTTTTTCCATGTTCCTGGTATCTTACCTTACTTGAAAATGTTTTCTGGGGAGCGAGTTCTGGCGCACCCTGTAGATACACAAAAAATGTCTTGTCTTTACATTATTCAATGTTGCCAACTTTAATCAGGAGCTTAATAGCACGCACAGTACAACTAAGATGAGTATTTATTTTAATTTTGTTGTTGTAGACGAGTCAGGATGCGAGGCTGACATGGCAGAAGGGAGCGTCGAAGAAGACAGCGGCGAAATGTTAGGGCCAACAGCGACACCCATTCTTCAAACTCCTGCTCCTTCCAACATGAGTGCTAAAGACGAGGTGAGTGTGGATAACCAATGTGTTATAGATGGCGTGCTGACTTCATAATTACACTGAAAAATATACAACCAATTGTTTTTAACACGGAGGACTATTAAAAATAATTTGAACACATTAAATAAATAACAAGTTAAATAACTTTGTTTGCTAAACCGTTTCTTACTGATTTTACATTTTAAATAGAAATAATGAAATTGTCAGTGTTAGTTTTTGCAGAAAAAATTAGATTACCTTAAAAGGCTTATGTCTATAAGACATTAGAAAATACATTTTTGTTGAAAACTTTGAAAACAAATTTAAATTACCGACCGTTGTATATACCTACTACAAAATAGTATCTTTGAAAGAAAAGCGAATAGAAAAATTAAATAAACGATCAGATAATTTTAGCAGAAGTGGCATTTTTTTTAGAGAGAATAAATATACTAACATTTTACTATACAGGATGGTTTTCTTTTAACTGGCAAAAATTCATGAATTGGTTAGAACATGGTTTGACCTATAAACAATTGTTTAAAAACGCTTTCTTATCGCAAGAAATGGCGCCAAAATTTGGAATTTGTTCTCATCTTTTCTTAATATGTTCTAAACGGTGATTTTCTGTAATATTTAAAAAAGAGAAAAAATGCAGAAACAGCAACAGGGTCCAATTCCATTCAAGGACCAGTAAGTAATGAGGAATCTCAAAGGCATCAAAATAATTATTAGAAAATTAAATTTCCGAATACGTACAACCGGTTTTACTTAGGTGCTACGAGGAGATATTAAACATACATGCAATTTTTTGCTATTTCTTTCTGGGACAATTACTATTCGCTAATTAAAACGAAACCACCCTGTATTTATTGTCCCTTGTGATTACATTGTGCTGCAAATACATAAATATCCGAATAAAAAAAACTAAAACAACAAAACGAACAACAATTGAACTGAAATAAACTGAACAAATAATTTCCATATACATGGAAACAGAGCGACAAAGTCTATTTTGGAAAAAAAACTTGAAAAGAGTCCTTTTTCAAATTTGCAATTGGAATAAGTGTTTATAAAAGTCGAATCAACTTGTAATAATTAATTAATTATATGTGAGTACTTTATGTAATCGTAACTTAATATCCGGGACATTATAATAATACAAAAATATTATAATGCTTTATTTGATAAAATTTTTATATACACACCCTATATAAATCTAAAATGTTAACGGATGTGGGAGAGCCAACAATCTACTTTTTGTTGTTTTGTTGCTTTAAGTCTTTCACATTCTTTATTATATAAATTTATGATAATGATAATATTCTGATTAATTGTGTTGCTGTCTTAATTGGTTTACCATGTAGTGTTAGTTGACAAAATATTTTTACACACTTTAGTAATGATCTTTATTCAAATGTCTGTCCCACAATTAAAAAAAATAGCGTTTTATACTTTAAATCTCACAGACATGTTGAAATATCGTCAGTGAATTAATTATTGTTTAATTGAGATGTTGAACATTGTGCAATATACGTAATTGCAATTATTGTAAATTATAATTCAATTTTTTTTATACAAAATTAAAGCTTACACTGTTCTCTCATAAGACGTACTGTATTTTTGTTTTTTTTATTGTTTAAAATAAAATACCTTTTTAGTTATTTATTCTAGGCACTCAAAACTAAATATTTTTGGAAAGACAATTTAATAACCTCTTAGATGCAAAAACAATAAACAGATGTTTTATTTAAACATTTTAAGTTATTGAACTTTGAACAAACGTCTTCATTTTTTTATCTTTATAATTGCAATACACAAAAAAATATTACAGCTTGTACTTTTTTCTTTAGGGTAGTAAAAAATATTTTTTTGTAATTTTTATAATACATTTTTAAAGAGAGTAGGTACAGTTGAACAAAATGAAAATGACGCCTCAATAAACCAGCCCCTGCGGGGTGCCGACCCTTCTAACCGCAACCAGACAGGGTCGTAAATTATCGGATTGCAGTTTCAACATAAATACCTCTTGGAGCCGGTTTACAGAAAGGGAAATGAAAATTTAATTCAAAATTAAACTAATTCGAATTAAGTTGCCATTTATTTTGCATTGACAAAGGTTAAGTTAAATGAAAATGTAATTTTTTTAATGAAAAATTTAACAAACCATTTCTTGAAGAAAATTATGCATTAATTAAACATTGACGAAAAAACAAATCATTATTTAATAA